ATAGAGTATGATTGGACTTGCCACACAATTATACTACTGCAAAAATGGTACAGGCATCGGAAGCACTCAATTAATAACTGTGGAAGTGCATCTAGAATACTAAGTTGAGAGCACGCAATAAGCTAATATGCGATAAGCAATAAGCTTGAAATGCGAAGAAGAAGAAGAGTAGATGTTTGTATATTTTTTGACTTATGAATGTCATGCCGAGTGCTTATATATCATCATCGTATGACATTTGACGAGTTTAGTCACGTTAGCTCCGTAAATATTAATATTTTCATAGATTTCTTGAGTTCTAAAATGTATCAAACATCCATTTCCCACTTCTACAAGTTACGCTGTTTCCGGAAATATCCATATTGTATGGTATTTGCAGATTCATAGTGTTCTAGTACATCGAAAGTCGTTATCGTGTATTCCAAAATGGCGTCGAAGATCCATTTCTGGCATCTACATTCTGCACCGGTTCCGAAAATATCTATATTGTATGGTATTTGACGAGTATTCATAGTGTTCTAGCATATCGGAGGTCACCATCTTGGATTTCAAAATGGCATCGAACATCCATTTCTGGCATCTACATTCCACACCGGTTCCGGAAATATCCATATTGTAAAGTTTTTGACGAGTATTTATAGTATTCTAGCATACCTGAAGTCGCCATCTTGGATTCCAAAATGGCGTCAAACACCCATTTCTGGTATCTACCTTCCGCACCGGTTCCGGAAATATCCATATTGTATAGTATTTATCCAGTATTCATAGTATTCTAGAATATCGGAAGTCGCCATCTTGGATTCCAAAATGGCGTCGAACATACATTTCTGGCATCTACATTCCGCACCGGTTCCGGAAATACCCATATTGCATAATATTTGACGAGTTTTCACAGTTTTATAGCAAACATAGGTCGCTATCTTGGATTCCAAAAAGGCGTCAAACTTCCATTTCCTGCATCTACATGTCACACCGGTTCCAAAAATACTCATATTGTGTGGTATTTGACAAGTTTAATTGTTTGCCTAATCGTGCGGGAGTCCTTCATTTACGCGAAATCCACGTCGCGGATCGCTGTTTTCCAACGCTTAACCCGCGCTAATATGACTGCCGATATATAAAAAAAGATATCATCGAGATGAATCGTATCATACGTATATATTCAAAGCGCTGCTATCTCACACTGGAAAGGAAAATAATGTGTGTGCGAAATACTTCCGTGCGGTAGCCGATAGGTAATCCGTCTGAATTTACAGCTCCCGCAGTTGGCAATCAACTTGACCAGAGCAGAAGGAATGAATTTAAAAATCGGCATCTGCAAAGCAACTGCACAAAGCACAATGCAGCGTAGAAAGGAAATCTGACTGTTTTTAGATCCCATTCAGTGCGACTGTTTTTTCATCAGGTTCAGTGAATGCCGATCACTGCGAATGATGAATGCGGATAATGTACAAGTTCATGCAGTCACAGGCAGAATGCGTTCCCTCTTCAAGCCCTGGATTCGTGTGTCGTGTCATGGAAAACGAAGATCGGCTTCGAGACGACATCAGACATCAGACGAGGGAGATAGAATAAATGATTATTATGATCCTCTGGGATAGAAGAGTGCAAAAGGATGGATGACTGGTTCATCGAGCTGGTTGAGGCTGGCTAGTCGCTCGTCTCGCATTCTTGTGTCTAATTTTAAAGCGGATGGACGTAGCTGATCAACGCGGGATGGTTTGGCTGGCGTCGTTCCAGTGACAAAAGATCGAGGCTTGCAACCTCGATCTGAGTTCACGACAATATTGTCAAAAGTCTAACACTGCTTCTTGACGCCAAACTCGGCCTACGGATTCTAAACTCGGCCTAACGCATTGAAACGCCATTGAAACGCCAATGAATTCACTTCGGCCTATCGGATGATGATAAAAAGTGATAGTACCAAACGCATAATTGACTTGTTAACTTTCATATCATGGATTTATTTGAAGTTTTCTGCTCGATAGGCCCAAAATGGGCGATTAGGCCGAAGTAGTTCTCTACCCTATAAGAATTTAATTCCTTTATCTTTTGTTTCTCTTTGCTAGTTTTTGTTTATCTTGTCCTTCCGTCTCCATGAGTCTCATAGTCGCCCACTGGTCACCATAGCCGGTTGAACTCCAGACGAATCTATAACCGCACCGTTCATACTGGCGACAACGCTTTGATGAGACAACGAAACCCTCAAACTCCTCCCCTGAGTATTCGGCCCAACTCCTACTAGTCATAGAATTAAGTGGTTTTTGTTACAAACAAAGAACAATGAATTATCGGCTCCGTTAAGCTAACGCGATTGAGCCCTCCAAATGAACTAGATAAAAAAAAAGTTAAACTAAACATTTCCAAAAAATATGGATTGAACAAAACCAAAACAGTTTGTTCAATCTTCACGGTGTCAAATGGTTAACTGTAGGAAACCTGATGCACATTATGAAAGGGTTAATCACGACTAACTTATGACAAATTTCAACAAATTTATTTTCAAAATATCTTGAAAACAGCTACATTTAGGATGTTGCTTCACCACCAAATAGCCTTAACAATCATATTATTTAAATATAATGTACTAATTCATATAATACCCCGTTCACATTACAGCCTATATCACGTAATATAGGCTGTCTTGCAATGAGCACTCATTCATAGGATTTCCAGTGAAAACTAGATGTATGAGTGCTCATTGCAAGATAACGTATATCACGTGATATACGCTGTAATGTGAACGGGGTATAAATCTTTAAAATGAAAAAGGTTTTGCTTTCAGTAGCTTTTTTAATGTAATACAACGCAGATTTGGCGTGAATAGGTTATCAAACTTTCTATGGCGTGCTGGGAATTTGCTTATGATATTAGTTATGTAGTAAATTTGGCACTGATTTGCTTGTCAGATTAGCTCTAGCACGGATTTGACACGTTTTTAATTTAAAGTTTGCGTGGATTTGGCACAATTTGAATTTACAGTTCGTGTGTACCTCGGATTTTATTTCAAATTTCTTGTATCAAACCTGTTAATGTTTTTCCATCTTAAAACAACTTTTATATTTTTATGTCTTAAGTATTTAAAAAAAAAATATCGTACGTTGTAGCAATTTGCATATAAAATTTTATTATTTATTTTTTCAAATAAATTTACAATTTTTTCTATGCTTGATAAAGCTTAATTGATTCTCTACAACTTCTTCTCAGACGACATACACATACGCCCTTTTTAAAAAATAGCCTTGAGTCGAAAAGGTCTCTCGACTAGTGGAAAAAAAATATGATCTCCCATACCGAACACATGCTGGAAGTTTCATCCAAATCGGAGAGGGTCGAACTGAGACGTTTGCTCATGTAGCAGAAAATTTCTCAATGTCCATAGGGACCACCCTATGCCATCACCACCGAATACTATCACAAATTTTAATGATTGCCCATTAGACTGATGCAAAATTTGACTTTTTCGCTCCACAATGCTTAAATGGTTTCAAATCGGGTTCTGATTAGCCTCCCAAAGTTACAACTCATTTGGTTAGAAACAGACTTCGCACAAGCCATTTGAAATTTACATGTAAATTACTATGGGAAATCTCAACTTTTTGTTCATTGCCTTCTAGTCTTTTTCCATATTGAGCTGCGAAACTGTTCGATAACCTTTCTTATAGAAAATTTTCTCAGCTACAACTTTGCTTAAGATCTTTTCTCTGTAAAACGAGACAGGAAAAAGTTATTAATTATTTAAGAGATTGGTAAACTTATGACATGATCAAGCAGCTGCTCTGTAGGCAACACTGTATTTTGCAGTGTGACATAGTAGCCATGATTTTTGTGTCCTATTCAATGCCCCAGAAACACCAGTGTTGCCTGCTGAGCAGTTGATTGAGCATGATCATAAGACATCAGCGCATTGAACCATTGATAACTTTTGATCCTTGCATTTAATCAAAAAGTGGTCTTGAGCAAAGTTGTAGCCATCTCTGTTTCTCACCAAATGGGTTCAAATTTTGAGAGGCTAGTCAGGATCCGATTTGGAATCGTTTAAGTATTGTGGAGCGAAAATTTCAAATTTTGCATCACTCTATTGCCCATAGCAAAAAATTCTGAAAATGTTCATGGAGCTTGGAGAGACTCGTGTCCGGTGTCTGGTATTTTTTCCGATATTTAGCATGGAACTGCTCATAAGGTACTGGGTACCATGGTGCCCCGTAGTGCACAGAAGCGTTGAAGTGAAACTCTACAAAATCCTTATCAGCAACGAAATTTAGTAAGCATAACCACTTGTTTTGTGAGTTAACGTATCGTAAACTATCCTTCACTATTTGCTGTAAATAATATAACTACACACTAAAAAAATCTGAATTTTACTGGTGATGTAAACATCCATGCATGCAAACATTCATGTATGTAAACTTCCTTTTCACGTAAACTAGCAGCTTGCAAGAAATGTTGCAAACAAATGTGGAAAGTTGCATACAATATATGGTATATTGCATGACATGTCTCATAAATTTACACGATTTATAATGTAAATTTGTATGATTTATGACGCTCCATTTATGTGCATCATAGTAACGGAAATTTACACTACTTTTTTTTAGCTGTGTACTTTATAAATCGTTTCACCGCATGAATGTAGCAAAATGTTCTCAGATTAAAACAGCTTGAGCAACATGATTTTTTTAAACTATTGCATTATGTTCACTGGCACTGATAGTTTTATCATTTTATTGTACGGAAAAAAATCACTAGATCATGATCAAAGCCTTTTTCATTGCCTTGGTGCCTCTCTTTTGTGCAAAACTTTATCTCACTATGATTTTGTTTGACCTGTAAACAAGTATTTTTTTAGCGGAGTTTCAAAGTTTGCTCGTACAGGAGCTACCATTCATTAAGTATTGAAAAATTCGTAAAATATCAGCGCAGGAAGCCACACAAATTTGCATAAAAAATTTCCATAACCTAGAAAACTTTTTCACCACATTTCCAATTATCTTAAATACCTTTAATTTAAACTGCTGCTTCTGCCTTCCGTACATTGCTGAACTGGCTAAAAAGTGGAAACTTGCACAGAAAGGATTCATCCATCGGCGTACGCTGCTCTGCAGTTTCCTTTTCTTACATCGTTGCCGGTAAAAACACAAATTAATACTGTTACCAGCAAATTTTTTTATTCACCACCTTCACACTCTAGTTTGTTACTAGACTTGACTATTATTATTCAGAAGAAGAAAAAAAAATCACCATAATAATTCCCATTCACATCCTTGTACATACACGCTCACTAGCACAAGCAGATTAAGCTTCCTTGCTTGAAAACAGTTTGCAACGTTTGCCACTCAATTGTTAACAACGGCCCTTCGGTTAATTTTTTCAAAATTAAATTTCACATCCTTCCCGAGTGCCTTGCGGGGCCCTAGAGACGCGGGCAATTTTCCTAACTTTCCTCGACGCGCCACCGCACATTGTCATCATCATATTCTTCCGGTATCAAGCGCCTTCAAGAACAAACCAACAGAAGGGTACTTCCGCACTGTTAAGTGGCAAAAAATTGAAAGATTAAAAGAAACCAGATTTCTCTGAAGTCCCACACCACCACCACAATGGAATGGCAGTTAGCAAAATGTGCTTTGGAATCCGTCCAAAGGAGCTGTTCCCGGCATCCGCGTTCGACCGCGAGCAAATCACAACAGCAACTGAAGAACGCTTTCCACGAAGCGCCGTTCAGAAGCCGTTGTTGGTCTACTAGCAGTCCTACAGCTGAGTTGCTGTGAATGAATGGCAGTAGGGTGCCATCAGCGCGCAGAGCGGTAGCGGTGAATGGGAACTGAGTAGAATGAGGGAAAACCTATTCTGGATCGGGAGCTTTTCCCACGTTTGCACGTCCGTCACCGGCAGTTTAGCAGATCATGGTGGGGCTGGGAAACCGGCGGGTGATGGGTGGGGTTACAATGTTCATATGCCGGTATTTGATGGTGGCTGCGTACTGGTTGCTTTCATCAATGGCGCCAATATATCGCTGTTGGCCAGAGGAGGATGGTCTGAATTGCTGCGTGCGCAAGCACGTGGCAGTATTCAGCAAACGAGGAGCGACGCGAGCCGAAGTTAAGGTTCGGAAGGTTTGTTTTAGTGAGGTTTGCCATTCAACACGTGGTGCTTCGGAAGATCTCGTCGAGTCAGCTGAGTATTATGAAGATGTTGTTGCTCATCTTGTCTGGTGACGTCTTCATTTGGGAATCTTATTTATACTCTAATCATATATCATTGCAAGTTTTTTCACCTGCTCATCGCCGAATGTGCAATTTGTGATTGCTTAAATTCTACAACCAACCGGTGGAAACTACCGATTTTAAATTGGCTTACTACTTGACTAGCCTAATTGTCCCAAGCTATTCGATTAACGTACCCCATTCTAGTCAAAATTCTAGTACTACACAATGTTTGTTTTGATTCGCTGTGAAAGTTTGGCAGATAAAGCCTAAACACAACGTGGGGTGACCCAAATCCAAACGATCACTAACCAAAATAATAGACTTATCTTCTTTTTTTGCAGCAGGTGTGATTTCGTATAGTTCTGTTTCTCTCTTTTCAGCAAAACAACAACAAAAAAACCTCTATAACTCTTCTCCATTCTTTTAATCTCCTACTATCCCCTATAAATGTATCAGAAACTAGTGAGACTGTCTGTTCAAACAGAAACAGGCCTGCTAGTGGAAGAAGGTCGTTATGCTATACGGTCTAGCATAGGCCTACGGCCAGGTTTCAGTAGGTACACACTCGCTTAACGGCAGATTGGTTTACAGTGGTCAACCAGGGTGTGTGCTGATAAATTACAAAATTACAATTACATCATTATTTCATACATCAGCTTGAATTATGTTGATCGATATTACATTTTTTTTTTGCTGTGCACTATACCACCGGAGCCAGCAAAGTTCAACAATCCATCGTTGCTTATGCCTTTGTCGTTTGGAACCAGTTTTGCGAGGTAGGCGACGATTGTGCGTATTTCTCGCGTAACTTTTGAAAAGGGCCTATTTATAGCCTGAACAATACGGAAAGAGCAACTTGAAACATTGAACGTCGCGTGAAAGTGGAACTTAATGAAGGCCTAAGTACTTTTTCGTAGTTTTTAGTTGTCGGATTTGAAAGATCGTCGGTTACAGTGGCCTGCTTACTGAGCAGAAAAACGTGGTCCCAGGTCCTTACATATCAAAGAGATTTATGGTAAAATTGCTTGTGTATCGTGTATTTTGCGAAACTCGTTGTTGTCGTTGGTTCCGGGTTTGAATGGATACACAAATTTGAGCAACGATATTATGTGATATGAGGGGCTCGGTGGCCTTAGAGCAACCGTTTTTGCTTACTAAGCAGAACATCATGAGTCTAATCTCAGGCCCATCCACATTCAAGATTCGTCAATCGTTTTATTTGTTAATATGACTACATGGTAATAACAGCAACTCGGTGATTAAAAAGGTGCTCGTCTGCCTAGTGGCAAACGTTTTTGCTTACTGAGTAGAAGACCGTGGGTTTAGTCCCAAGCTCCTTCGCGTTATATGATCGTTAGGACATCAATTCAGCTTATCGTTTACCAAAACGAACCCTGCTGCAAACCCAACCCTCTTATCCAACATCCCAGTGATTCCTCGTGGAAGTGCAGAGGTGTTCTCGGCTTCCATCAAAGCGAGTGTCATGTCAACACAATCCTTCCCACTCCTTTCTTGACCTGTGTTCGGGCGCGGCCGGCGCTGGTATTGCCTAATTTAAGATCACCAGTTTTTACACATTGAGGATGATTGCTAGTCCCAAGCATCGTCTATTGGTTCTCTGTGTAATTATAGCTGATCTGGCAATAACAGAGTAGCAACCGTGGGCGGTCAATCAAGCTCAAGCTCAAGCTCAAGCTCAAGCTCAAGCTGTGAAAGTTTGACAGATAGAATGAGGGGTTAGCGGATTTTCCTATGTTTCGAAGGGTGAATCGATTAGCTTGGGACCTAAGAGAGTACCAGAGCTGAGCCAAAAAGTTGAGCACGTTTCTTCTGGACCTACCCCAGAGCGTTAGCAAAGCAACACTCGACAAAGAGTGTATGGTTCTCCCATTTACTCCGCACACTCTTTTCCAATTAATCTGTGAGAAAGCGATCCACACAATGAGTGGTACACTCCGTGCGGCGCAGGGAGCGAATCTAATACAACAAGCGCTAATGTCTTCTTTGAATTCTTTGCAGACTTTGCTTGCCTCGACTGCATGCATAGGCGATGAAAAAGAGCATAACGAAGAAGAATTTTGTCTTTTTGCTAGGTTTCCCATTTGCAACCTTACACTGCGTGGCGCTCTTTGCGTCGGAGCTGTCGGGGCGATGGCTACACATTGCGCATTCGTTATTTCTGGGTGTGTGCCTGTCTTCTCTTCTCCGCTGCTTTACACTTGCGCAGGGTGAAAGACAAGCATACTTTGTGTTTGCTTGATTCTCACTTTTTGTATTTCATAAAATCAGTACATTGCACACCTTGAGTGATCAGATGACAGCCCTGGTCAGACGAGAACTTAGAATATTGTTTGCGGATATTGGAAACAGTTTCTGAGATCAACATGGAACGAGTGTTGGAGAGCAGCCAAACATTTCAATTCTTATTAACTAAGCTGCCGAACGCTGTTACCATAAAAGCTAACAAGAATTAATATAAAGGTGAATTATAAATAATTGCTGAACCCTAGCAGCAGGCTTGCAAAAAAACAGTTGCGGGAACATCTTATTGTAAAGGCTGAATAAAAGTAGATTGGTACGCCCCTCGCGCACCGCTAGCACGCCTCTAGTGTTGGGAATCGAAAATCGTTGACAGTGGTTTGTTTACACTATTGTAGAGAACAACTGGTGCAAGTTTCATCAAAGTAGTCGATCGCGTTCAGAAATAACGTCTCATGGAACTCGAAAGAAAAAAAAATATTGTGCACAAACACCTGAAAAATGCGGAGTGGTCCGGTTCCAAGCTGGCTAAAGTGTTGAAGATGCCGAAAACAACAGTTTGTCGAGTGATCAAAACCTACAAGGAAACCCTGAGTGTGGAAAGGAATCAGCGGACCTAAGAACAAACTGGAACCAGGGATCGTCAGATGCGCAGTAAGGTGTTGAGGAGCGTCAAAGCTAACTCCGGTCTTTCGATCCAAGATGTGGCCAGAAGGTACAACGCCAACTTACAAGTCGTACAAAGCCAGTCAACATCCGAACCGGCACATGAAGCAGAATTCCATGACCAAAAAGCGCGCAAGGCTCTTGTACGACCGTGTTTTGGCGAAGCACAAGGGCTACACTTTGATCGATGACCAAACATACGTCAAACTCGATTTTAAGCAGCTTCCCGGTCAAAAGTTTTACATCGCGACTGGACAAGGGGATGTGCCGGCAAGATTCAAGTTCGTGTTTGCCGACAAGTTCGCGAAGAAGGCCATGATTTGGCAAGCGATGTGCAGTTGTGGTCTGAAAACGGAACCACTCGTCACATCCTCCACGATGACATCCCAAGTTTACATCGAAGAATGCCTGAAAATGCGTGTATTGCCGTTCATCCGTAAATTGGTAATCATTAATATAAATTTTACATTTTCGCAATATATTCCACACAAAGTTGACCAATATTACAAAACCATGCATTGACCTTACTAACTACCATAACCATAACCATTAAAGTTCTAAAACCATAAAGGCTCTTAACAACCCATTACTTGTATGGTCCATTTCTAAAAAAACCAAAATTCATAAGGTTCGAACTTTAACACACAATCGTTCATGTAAAGTTCTTTAACCATTCCAGTTAAAATTTAGCAGGGATTATAATCTATTTTTAACCATTGTTGATAAGGTCAAGTTATAGTTCGCGTTTATGCGGATATCTCTTTTTCTGATGATTTCTAGAACAAGCTATCTGCGAGAAATCAATGGGTACACGACGTTAGGCATACGGTCGTTAGGCATACGGACATTAGGCATACGGACATTAGGCATACGGACGCAAGGCATAACGTACGGTAGGCATAAAGGACGTTAGGCATAATCGACGTTAGGCATGATCTACCCGATGAATTCTAGAAGGATGATAATGGGGACCGTCTATTGATTGCTGACATCGGTGACAATAATGAAAGAGCCTTAAAACTTGCGACGTCTTGGACAGGCAAAGTATTTGGATGCAGATCTTACGTTTGCCACAGTTCCTTGTTTGTTTCAGCAACTCGTCACTGTTCATGGAAGTATCGCTCCCTCACATCAGCAGACGTTTCTGCTAGTATTCATTCAACAAAGTATGGGAGTAAATCCTGGAAGCAGCTGGTATGTTTTTTGTTAATGAAAAGCCACAGAATTCACCATTCTTCATTTCATGAGCTGTTCTTTGGCATCATCTTTTATTCAACCTTAGCTGTTTTTTGTTATTGAATGAAAAATCACAGAATTCACCATTCTTTATTTCATGAGCTGTTCTTTGAGGAAAAACTTTTCTTCTATTACATTTCCTGAGAACTTCGAGATAAGGGCGTAATTGCTTTTGTAAACAAACACTTGATTTTAAGATTTCTCGCGAATTGAAGCTCAATCTAAAAAACTAACAACACAAACAGGTAGATGAATGGTTCCTCTATCATTTGGTATAGTTTTTTT